GTGTATAAGTGCTTCAGGCTTTTGTGTCAGTATTGATTGATTCAGATACTAAAGAAATCTTTGGCAAAAGCAGACCTAGTGAGAAAATGTGGCTTCAGCTGGGAGAAATTGTTGGGCATTGGCCCCGTGGCAGCAAGTTCGACCGTTTTTGTTTAGTTTTCTTTAGTGAAATAGACTTGAATTTTGGAAAGTGTTTAGGTGAGTGGGTGTTAATTTTAGGAGTAGAAAGAGCAAGTAACATTACTTAATCTGTTTCTAAGGGGAAAAAAAAAACATCCTTAGAGCAACTTTGATTAGGAAACGAATATGGGATTTGGGAATAAAAAGAAGAGAGACTTACACCTCACAGAGCCAGACAATGGCAAGAGGCTGGGCAATGCAGTGGAAAGAACATTGTATTTGGAGCTAGAGAACCTGCTTTCATATTTCACTGCTTTTATCCTCTAGCTTTGGGACCTTGAACTTAATTTCTCCCACTATAAAATGAAGATGTTGGATTGGATGACCTCTAGGCATCTTCCAGCTCTAAAGATGATCCTAAAAGAGTCCTCTTTGTAGGGCTGCTAGGTTGTACAGTGGATAGAGTATTGGATCTGGAAGATCCGAGTTCAAATTTGGCCTCATACACTTAACAGCTGTGTGACCCTGGGCAAGTCACTTAACCTTGTTTGTTTCAGTTCCCTCGACTGTAAAATGAGCTGGAGAAAGACATGGCAAAGCACTCCAGTATCTTTGCCAAGAAAATCCGATATGGGGTCACAAAGAGTCAGAAATGACTGAAACGACTGAACAGCAACAGCAAAGTTGAGGCAACAGGTGGCACATGAAATTTCGGTCAGGGATCAACTAATCTGTTGGGCACACAAGTAAGACTCAGCAGTGACTAGAGCAACTCAAAACCCCTGTCCTGAGTCAGATGCAAAAAGTGCTTTATTATCATTAAAAGGTCAAAGTGTCTTGACTTTGTTGGTTAGAAGCTGGTGAGAAGGAAGAAAAAGCCTGTTCGGGCCATTTAGTTTCACCAGACTCCATGACTACAGACAACCTTCTAAAGCCTAATGAGTCACCTTACAAATATATATAGTCAAGAAGGAGAAAGTGGATGAATCAGTACAAAGCCTTCACCTTGATGGTTCAAACACTGAAGAGCATGTCTAGGTGGCCAGTAGCACCTTGACAGATGAATAACGGTGGATTTTTTTTTCATTTAGTTTAATTTAGTTTAGTTTCTCATTTTTAAAATAATGGGAGGGGCAGCTAGGTGGCTCAGTGGATAGTCAGGAGGACCTGAGTTCAAATCCGGTCCCAGACACATAACACTTACTAGCTGTGTGACCCTAGGCAAGTCACTTAACCCCATTGCCTAGCCCAAAAAAGGGGAAAAAAGTGTAAAAAATTAAAATAAAATAATGGGAGGTGGGGTGAAGAGTAAATGATCTGAGCACTGAGCTAGGATCTAAGATTTAAAATTGGAAGAGATTTTAAAGATAAGCTGGTCCAGGGCAGTTAGGTGGCACAGTGGATAGAGCACTGACCTTTGAGTCAGGAGGACCTGAATTCAAAATCCAGTGTCTGTTACTTACTAGCTGTGTGACCCTGTCCAAGTCACTTAATCCTGATTGGCTCCAAAAGAGAGAGAGAGAGAGAGAGAGAGAGATAAACTGGTCCACCTCTCTCCTTTTATATGTAAGGTATTCCTCCCTTCATATGTAAATAGTTTGCAGCAAGGAGCAGAAAAATAATTCACATGTAGAAAAATTGGTGAAATCCACATGTAAAGAAACTGTTTTTCAGAGAAAATGTTGAGAGAGAGGGTAGGTGAACCAAATAGAGAAGTGCCCCTCACGTAAATGTACTGAGAGGGCCTTTTAGAAGGCAGAGAAATGACTGGAGTTGCAGGGCATTTTGGTACCTCATCTTGTTTTATGTGATGGTTTTTATTAAATCAGTTGCTTGTTTGAAGACTTTGGGAAGATTAAGAAATATTGGCCATAATAGAAAGGTGGATTTTGTGAATTTTACCTGATAAGGTAAAGATGAGTCACTGACCTCCAGGGGGCTAAATACAGCAATTAGTAAGCCAGAAGCAAGAGTGAGGGTCACGCTGTCCTTGGGCTACATACAGATGAGAAACTGAAGCCAAGAGAAATGGATTAGATCAGTGGTCTCCACTCCCCCTGCGGGGGAAGGTGGCATTATTCCAGTGGAGCAGGTGGTCTGATCCTAAGGCACAGGTGATAGATGAATCGGAGGGTGGAAAGATAGGGCAAATCCCATCCTCTCTGGCTCTCCTCACTCCCCTCTTCAGGACAAGCTCTCTACCTTGCCCCTTCTATTTCTGGTGTTAGCTCTTAGGGGCTATTATAAACTGAACTACCCACTACTCACCACAACAGTTAGTACCACTGGGGGAAAAAATGATCCCTTTCCCTCCCCTGGCCCTTAGGTCACCCCAGGCCCTTGGTAGGAGCCACTCTGAGTTGTAACTTAGGGATTGGCAACTTAGAGCCTTGACCTCCCAATTTTCATTTTGTTTGTCAATAAATCACGTAGAATAAGCAGACAGGAAAAATGATATTCTGGATCACAGGCAGTGTATCATCTTTTCCTTCAAAAGTGCCCACTTCCAAAACAAACAAACAAACAAAACCAAAGGGACAGCTAGGTGTCACAGTGAATATAGCACCAGCCCTGGATTCAGGAGGACCTAAGCCCAAATCCTACCTCAGACACATAACACTTTCTAGCAGTGTGACCCCATTGCCTAGCCAAAACAAAAGTACCCACTTCCAAAGTTTCCTACGACTATTGAGGGTGCTGCCATCCTTCCCTGTTTCCACATCTTCATTGTCATAATGGACTTCTCACTTTTCCCTAGCGTACATCTGCATGTGCAAATTATTAGGTCATCAGTTGCCAAAACTCCCCATTTTTTATCTCCACATCTGCCCCTCACACTGCTACATCTAGTCCAGGCCCTCATCACCTGTCACTTGAACTATTGCAATAACCTTCTAATTGGTCTCCCAGCCTCAAGTCTCCCCCCAGTTCAATCCATCTTCCACCCATTGGCCAAAGTGGTTTTCCTAAAATGCAGATCTGACTATGTCACATCTCCTTCCTACTTAATAAACTCTAGCGGCTCACTATTGGCTCTAGGATCAAATTATTTCATCACTATCTTGTCTTTTTTTAACTTTTTTTGGTTGTTTTCTAGTGTACATAATTATTAATACAGTATTATATGTATACATTTATATTTATAAATGAGTAATTTTTCACAAATTGGGGTTGCATACTCAAAATGTTTTACTGCTAGGGATGTAATATTAGTATTAGGTGATTTCTAAGTTCCCCTCTAGGGAGGCAGCTAGGTGACACAGTGTTGGGTCTGGAATCATGAAGACTTGAGTTCAGATGTAGCCTCAGATGCTTACTAGCTCTGTGACCTCTGTTGCCCATTCTTTGTATGCTACCATTTTCTCAACTCTAAGACAGGGAAAATAATGACACTGGCATTATAAGATTATTGTGAGGATCAAATAAGATAATATTTGTAAAGTACTTAAAAGAGTGACTGGCACATAGTAGATCAATCAATAAACATTTATTAAGCACCTACTATATGCCTGGCTCTGTGCTAAACTTTGGGAATACAAAAAAGAGGCAAATGATAATCCCTGCCCTCAAGGAGCTTACAGTCTAGTGGGGGACACAACAGACAAATGAGCTACATGAAGGATGAATAGGAAATAATTAACAGAGGAAAGGCATTAGAATTAAGGGGGAGGGGTTTGGAAAGGCTTCTGGTAGAAGATAGAGTTTTAGTTGGGACTTTAAAGAAGCCAGGGAAGCCACTGGGTGGAGATGAGTAAGGAGAGCCTTCCAGGCATGGGACACAACCAGAGAAAGTTCCCAGAGCAGAAAGATGGAGTGTCTTGTTTGTCGAAAAGCCAGGAGCTGGTGTCACGGGACTGAAGAATATATGAGGTAAAGATGTAAGAAGCCTAGAAAGGTACAATGGTTCTAGATCATGAAGGATTTTAAATGCCAGACAGATCATTTTGGATTTGATCCTGTTGGTGCTAGAGATCCACTGGAATTTAGTAAGTAGGTGGGTGGCATGGTTAGACCTGAACTTCAGCAAAATCACTTTAGTGGATAATGGAGAATGGATTAGAGTGGGAAGATACTTGAGGTAGGCCGACCCCCCCAGTAGGCTATTGCAATAATCTGGTGAAGTTATGAAGTCCTTCACCAGACTGGTGGCAAGGTTAGTAGAGAGAGAGGGTGTGTGTGTGTGTGTGTATTTTGGGGAGATGTTAGAGAGGTAAAGTGTACTGGCCTTAGCAACAGATTGGATAAGGGGAGAGGGAGATAGGAGTTGAAAATGACTCCTAGATTGTGAGCCTAAGGGACTAGGAGGATGGTGGTGCCCTCCACAGTAATAGGGAAGGTAGGAGCAAGGAGGGTTAAGGGTGAATGATAATGAGCTCTGTTTTGGACAGGTTGAATTTAGTTTGTCTACTGGACATCCAGATTGAGATGTCTGAAAGGCAGTTGGAGATTCGAGATGGGAGGTGAGTAGAGTTTGGGTCAGGATAAGAAGATTTGAGGATTGTTAATGTAGAGATGGTAATTAAATCCATAGGAGCTGATGAGATTGGCAATAGATACTTGTTTCCTATCCTCCCCTTCTAGTTCTAAATCTGTTTCCTCTAATCTTGTAGTCCAACCCTCTTATTTTAAAGATAAGGAAACTGAGGCCCCAGGACACAAGGTTACAAAGATAATAAGCAGCAGAGGAAGAATTTGAAGCAAAGTCCTTGGACTCCAAATCTTGTTCTGTATTGGCCACACCACGCTGCTTCTTCCTCTGAGCACTTAAGAGCTTTAGAATACTATGTCTTTCCGCAGCCAACCTCTCACATTCTGTGCTATGATGACAAGTCAACATGAGGGGTCCTAATAATTCACTGTTTGCTTTCTTTTGGTTTTAGAATATTTCCCAACTTCCTTGTGGCAAAGCCCTCTATAGCTATGAGGGGAAAGAACCTGGTGATCTCAAGTTTAACAAGGGAGACATCATCATCCTTCGTCGAAAGGTGGATGAGAACTGGTACCATGGGGAACTCAATGGAAACCATGGCTTCTTCCCTGCCAGCTATATTCAGTGCATCAAGCCCTTACCACAAGCCCCACCCCAGGGCAAAGCACTTTATGACTTTGAGATAAAGGATAAAGATCAGGACAAGGACTGTTTAACTTTCACCAAGGTAAAGTGAAACATCGCATGTCTTAAATCATTCTCATTTGAGGCTTTTGTGAACCTACCCTCTCTCCTCCATTTAAGGTTCCCTCTAATAACTTGATTCCCTGTTAGACTAAGAACAGAGAGCAAGTTTCATTGCTCAGAGTGGACACAGAGGAAAAGGTCAATATGTTTTTCTGAAGTATCAGTGGGGCAACTAGGTGGTGCAGTGGATAGAGCACTAGGCCTGAAGTCAGGAAGATCTGAGTTCAATATTGACCTCAGACATTAGCTGTGTGACCCTGAGCAAAGTCACTTAACCCCTGTTTGCCTCAGTTGTTCATCTGTAAAATGGGAACATAGGAAACAAAGGAAAATGGCAAACCACTTCAGTATTTTTACCAAGAATACCCCAAGGACAAAGTCCATGGGTTCATGTTGGACATAACCGAACAACAACAACAACAAAAGACAAAGTATCATTTAGTCTTCTGAAATAGAGGATTTGTTAAAGGCAGACTTCCTGTTTGGAAAAAGCTCATTTGGCTCTCAGGGGAGTGAGGTTTTTTGTTTGTTTTTGTTTTTGTTGTTGTTTTTCTTTTCTTTCTTTCTTTTTTTAAATATATTCTGACAGCCTAAAATCAGTCTTACCCTGGTTACCATTAACCCAAAGACAAGAGGCAAAATGCAAAAACATTTACTGGGAGCCATTTGAGCTGCCTGGGAAACCATTCTTGGCCTGAGGAATGACCAGTATTTAAAAGAAGAAACAGGGATAGGGACAAGGAAATGAACTGGACCTATGATTTTACCAGAATAGGGAATACTCTTGGGTGGGAACTCCTTCAGCCAGTGCAGATCATTTCTTTCTCTGTAACTTATTGTCTTTGAGAGTTTTTTAGATTGCTAAGAATTCAACTGACTTGCTTCTAGGATTCAGGGCTAGCTCTCTGTATGTTTCACCATGTTACAAAAGGAAACTAGATTTTTTTTTTCCCATTAGTTCCTAGGACCATCGATTTAGAGCAAGGAAGGATCTAAAAGGTCCTCTAGTCCAATCTCTCCATTTTACAGGTGAGGAAACTGAATCCCACAGAAAGAGGTGACATATCCAGGAATCCAGGTCCTCTGCTTCCAAACTCTGTTCTTTTTCTAATGCACCACTGATTTTCCTTTATGAGCCCCATCTTTTGGAGAACTAGAGAAAATGGCTAGCTTAATACAATTGGAATTCCTAATTAATGGCATTAAATGTTTCTTTTTCACAATTTTCCACTCTCTTTTCCTTTTGGCTCTCTTCTTCCTCACTGTTCTCAAGACCTTATGGCCTATGATCTAGCTTTGGTCTAAGATCCCATGTTCGTACACCTGCTCTACTATGACCCCATATGTTGTGAACTGTGCACTTATTTTCTCTCATATAGAATCTAAAGAACTTATAATGCAGCCATGCTCTTGACCCAATCAAAGGAAATGAATGATTTCTACTGTTTCCTGAAGTGCTTTATACTTTAGGTACTGGCAAGCAATTGTTAGACCTTTTTCTCTTAGCTAAGCTGATCTGCTTTTCTGTTATAGACCTTGTCTCAGCTACAGGGGCAGTTCCTTTAGACCATCCATGAAATTTCAGAGGGTGCCATTTTCTCCTGCCCTAGAACAAGAGTCCCAGTTTGGGGCAGTTTTCATCTATAGTTCCTCTTAGATGAAAGTAAGAACATTAGATGACGTCAGACGTCGACAGTATATGGGACTATTTTAAGGCAGAAGGAAATGGTCTTAGCACTATCATCCCTCACTTCCTTGCCTTCCATTAGTCTATCTTTAAAATTCCCCTTAATGTTTACATTGTTCTCAACCCTGTCTCCCATTTGCGTCTTTCCTAGTTCCCCAGAGCTCAGCACTCAGATAGCTGTTTTAGCTCCCCTGGTTCTGTCATGGCTAACCCATCCTCTCCTGACTGCTATTTATGTCTTGTTCCATTGTTCAGCGTGACAGTGAATAATCTATTTTCCACAGGGGATTCAACTCTGTATTTTCTTATTTCTTTTGTTCAAGGTGTTCTGATGCTAATTTCAACTGTCACCTGCTTGATGAAGCTTCCTTGGAAGCCAGGATCTAGGCCCCTCTGCTGCTGCTTTGTCCAATGAATGGCCAGAGGGGCAGACTGCCAGAGACATGATTTGTTGGACAGACAGAGCACCAGCCTTGTTCGGTTTTTTTGCCAAATGAAGTTTGACCTTTCTCTCTGGAGGAAAACCTCCTGGAGACTGAAGGCCTCTGTCCTATGATTTGTGACAAAACTCAGTGCCTTTAACACCCCCTTCACACGTCCTGTTGACTCCGTGCCCAGATGTGAAACCACACAAGCCTTTTGTCCAATGCTACTTGAAGTTCCTCTAACTTTAAAGAGATCCAGAGAGGTATATACAAGGTCATCTATGCTGAGCCATTTGGCTCGGCCAATGTTTCTCCCCTTCTTGAAGTTGGAGTGACCTCAACAAACCATATCCATTGATCCTAGGATATAGGGCTTGAAAATATGTTACTAGTCAAGTCCAGGACTCTGTCCCCCCTCATCTCATAGATGAGAAAACTGAGGCCCAAGGAAATTAAATTACTTGCTCAAGGTCACATAACAAATCAGTAATAAGTATGAATTTAAAAACCCACTTTTTCTGGCTCCATATCCTTCCTCATTTAACAATATCACCAGGCACCTCAGTAAAGTGTCTGTCCACTTTGGATCCTCTTAAAGCAAAAGGCCTCAGCAGTATCCTACCCTCCTAGGAAATGTTACCTAATCATTTAGTATCACAAGAATTTGCTTGGCTCACTTTGTGAAAGGAATCCCACCTAGTTCTTTTGGTCTTTTAAAGAAAATATTTCCGGGATAGTGGGGGAAAAGAGCTTTTTGATATTTCTAAGCTTATTTTTAGGTCAGTCATGACCACTAGAGGACAATTTCACTGTTTCAAACTTTGATTATCCAGCCATCATAATAACTCTTACTCTTAACCTCATGTCTTTCCAAACAAATCAAATTATAAGCCTAAAGATTTCCTAATAACTGAATATGCCCCAATTAGACTCTTCTTCAACCCACACTTCCCACCATCTCATTCAGTCTGTTGATGAACATAGGCTTTAGTTAAGTTGGCATAATATTCCTGCAATGCTAGTCTTCCATTCATTCAACAAACATTACATGAATACTGTGTACAGAGAGAGCACTGTGTCATGCACTAGAAGAAATGAAATGTTTAAATAAAACATGTTGCTTGCCTTCAGGGAGTTCACAGTCTTAGTTAGAAGATGAGTCATAAATACAGTGTCATGCAAGGTATCCCAAAAGTCAGTGTAGTTTTAAGGTATTAAAGCTTAAATTGATCAAGCTTTATTAAATACTCTTGGCATTCCCTGTATATCATGTTGCATAAGTGCGTTAGAGAGTTAGAATATAAAGAAGAGGAGGGTCCTTACTAACGAGGCTCATGCTGTAATATCACCCTTGTTCACACTAATTAAGCAAACATAATAATAATTATAATGATGATGATGATGATGATGATAACAACAATAATAGCTAGGTCTTTGTGACTCCAAGTCTATAACACTACAGCCACATTTCCTCCCTTGATGATTTTGATTTGTATTATAGGTCCAATTTTTTGGGGGGAATTTTGGCATTATCCCAGCTGTTGGGGTCATATCTTGCTGCTTTGGAGAAAATAGGCAGGTGTTTAGTTCATGGAGGCAAAAGCTGAAATAAGGAAGTTTTTAATTAAAATTGCTTATAGGGTTACTGGTGAACTTGGGAAATGAATGAACAGAGGGAGTCTTAGAGTAATCCCAAAATCTTCAAGTGACTTTTCAATAATCATCGTTCCTATCCAGACCACAGTTTATTTCCTCTCTCTTTGATGTTTATTTCTATCATCTGGCCCCATCACAGAATCTCATAATGAGAAGGGATATCACCTGCCATCTGGTTTTCTGTGTACTTGAGAAAGAGTGCCCTTCAGAGCATCCCCATAAATGGTAACCTGCATGCTTGAAGACCTTTAGTCCTCTGTTGGAAAACTAATTATTAAGAAATTGAGGAGTTTTCAAGCCAGATATCCAACCTAATTTGCTTTTTTGCAGATTAGTGAGACTCAAAACTGTTTGGCTGTTTCAGAAGAGTAGTCATTGATGGTTTAATGTGAACTTGGGAGGTCTCCAATGGAGTGCCCCAGAGATTTCTACCCATTGTTTTCTGGGGCCAAGCAAACAAAGTCTGATATAACTTCCATAATTCTTTAAATTCTCCTAGACAGCATACCGTATCCACTGCCACACATCTTTTCAGTAGACTAAGGTTTTTGTTGGTGGTGGTGATGGTGGTAGTGGTCCTTCTCTTCTTTCATTCTGTAAGAGGACCAGTGACATCACAAGGGTAGTGTCTTGATTTGCATTTGAATTGGATTTAAGTGAGGTAGAGCTATGCAAAGTAATCTGCCTTACTCTCTCCACTATAGTCATATGCTAAGGTAGATCAGTGAATGAAGTACTGAGTCTACAGTCAGAAAGACTCATCTCCATGAGGTCAAATCTGGCCACAGACACTTATTAGCTATTTGACCCAAGGAAATTCAACCCTGTTTACTTCAGTGTCCTCATCTGTAAAATAAGCTGGAGAAGGAAAGGATAAACTACAGCAGTGTTTTTGCCAAGAAAACCCAAATGGGGTCCTGAAGAGGCAGACATGACTGAAACAATTGAACAACAATAAATCATCCCTCATTCCTTCACCCCATACTCATATGGACTGATATCTATATTCTTCATCATCATGATTGCCTTCCTTTTGACAGTCTTCAGTTTATCAATATCTTTCTTAAAATTTCCCCTTTGACAGGTCTAATTATCAGGAATGCTTTCCTAACATCTAGCTTAAATCTGCCTTTCTGAAGCTTTTTTAAAAAAATATTTATTTAATTTTTAATTTATGGACTAAAACAAGCATTTCCATAACATAGTATAATT